CGGACCAGGCCCTTAGTCTTGGCTGGCAGCTGGTCTATGAGGGAAGTTCTGCCAGGTGGGCAGATAGAGCACTACTCTTCTGATCCGGCAGCTTCTACCGCATGTTTTGTTTCACTTGTACTGGTGTTACCTTTCCTTTGGAGTACATGAGGCAGACTGAGCGTCGGATCGTGAACAGGGGTAAAATATGGTCTCTTTAAAAGGGCCAAGGCTTTGTGCTATGGAAAGGAGCAGCTTCATCACAGTCTCATGCATACACCCCCCCCCACACACACACACACACACACACACACACACACACACGTCCTCATTATCACACATGTAGACCCCAGGTCAGCGTCAACATGAGACTCACCCTTTAAGCGGACTCCAAGGAAGAACAGCAATACCGGCGCTTTTGCTGACCTGGAACACCTCCAGTTCCGAGTCCCGACTGGCCAGACTGTATTGTTGCTGCAATCAGGTCCACACAGGTTACAAATTCTCCAATGAACGTGGATTACTGTGTTTGCGAGTGGATGATGTCAACAGTTAATGGTTTCTGATAAAAACGGTAGCGTGGGAAAAGAAAATAACTCTTTTCCTCGCCGACAGGCTTATTGGGCATACAGAGCCAGGCCTCTTTTTAAATATCAAATAGGTACGTGATGGGTAATGAGATTAATATCACTCCTGTCGCATTTACTTCCCAGAAATATACATGGTGCCCATTTAAGACTTGGTCGACACAGACAAAAATGCCGGCCAGCATCTAGTAACTACATCACAGGCGCTCCCAATCGCCTTTTGCTACATATTTATTAAGAGGCAGTGACTCTATTCTTATACACCAAAATTAGGTAGGGAACCCGCACGGGGGAGAGTTAGAAAAGACTGCATATTTTGTGAAAGCAAATAATAAACAGTGCGAAATGTTGAAGCAGTTATAGTAGTTATAGTGGTCGGTATTGTTGTTGTTATTGCCAAAGAACGCGATGAATAACAATAACGGCAACAACAACAACAACAACAACAAAAGAGACAGACCAAAAACAAGAACACGACAAACAATTAGCAGGGTCGCCAGCAGACGAATATAATAATTAGAGCCATAGTAATCAGACGGGATTGACAGTACACGAGACAGAAGGTTGTGGGAAGACATGACTACCAAGGCCTCACGACATGGAATTTAAAAAGAACCAGAAAAACCAGAAAAACAATAACCAAAACAAAACGAAACGAAACAATCTGGAAATAAGAAGACAAACTGCACAGATATGAGACGGAAATCAAACACGAAAGATGATAAATTAATGCAGACCAGTCTGTCAAAATGTAAAAATCATTAGCAGTGACGAATAATACAAAAGAGCAAACAATTGGTAGTTTACAAATGAACATTTCCGCTCACCTGTAGACTAACTATAGAGTTGAGGCCGTATCGCTCTGAGGTGTCCACTATTTTCTGAAGCTGCCACCCAGTGACGTTACTGAGTCCCACATAACGCACTTTACCCACACGGACAAGGTCATCCAGTGCCCTTAGGGTTTCCTCTATCGGGGTCCCGTCGTCCCAGGCGTGGATCTGCAGGATGGATCGCAAAAATACTGGTAAAGAAATAACCTCATATCTACTGAAAGAAACATAATCGTGTGATAATTGTGAGAGTCAGCATTTTATAATTAAATGAGTGAAACTGTTCAAACTGCACACAATTATACCTTAAGGTTCAACTCATTAATTGACAGCTGTTCTGCATCTGGGTCATCGATAGTTTTAGGCGTACGGGAGTTCCCTCCATTAGTAAAAAAGAACGCTCATATAACTATGCGGTTTTTCTATATATATCAATCCGAAGAATTATTTATGTTGCTTGTTCCCTTGATAGCATTGCTGAAATGCTTCTTTTTCAAGACGTGTTGTGATAATCAGTAAAGGATTTATCATTTTTACATCAATTTGTATATATAATTTCGTATTTATATCATCAACTTTACCGATATAACTAGCATTGTCACTATCATCATTAAAAAAAATCATAACAATTATCATTTGCGTCTTCATCATCATTTTAACCGCGTCCTCGTTCTTTCATCATAAACATTACCAGTATCATTGTTATTATTATCCTCATTATTATTGACAATATTATCACTTTTGACACCATCATTTTCAAAATCATCATCATAATCATCCCTATCAAACCGCTGTGTGGGTTTAGGGGCCCGATTATGGAGAAAAGAATAGGTCACACACAGCCTCAAAAAAAAAATTATCGTAAGAGTCGACTAACTGGAGGCTTTTTTCTTCCAAAGTCGGATTGAATCTTCCTGAGAGGCAAGGAACTAATAGTCTGCATACAGATATACCAGATCTGTAAAGCGGATTTGCACGCAAAACAGTTTCTATAACAAAGACCAGAAGTGGACGAGCAACTAAAACATTCCGCCGGAGTTCATAGCCGGTGAACGCGAAGAAGAAGGACATTATCATTTTGCATCAACGTAATTATTTAAAAATCCATCACAGTCGATATCGTTTATTCTTTCTAACAACGGATCAACGCCATGGCACAAGGGTGGTAACCCATAAATGCTCCATCCTACTTAACACTCAAGAGTTCGAAGATAATCAGCCCAGTGCACGAACTCCGTTGCACCGGCGAGGATCATGAAATACTTTGAGTAGATTTTTTAATCCAACTGTTGTCCCGGCAGCACATTTAAGTTACGCTTTCCGATTTCCAACTGCGAATGAATTTTTTTCCGGGGCAACAATACACACGGGCGTCCATTCTTACTGATCGGAGACCAGTGGAAATGGCTAGAAGTTCATATGAAAAAAATCCCAGCCTTCACGGAGGCTTGAGCCCGGGACCCTCACCACTCGAGGCGGACTCCATGAAACGAGACCATTTAGGCCCTAATATTATCAAAATCATCGACATGATAGACATTATCAACACAAGTATTATCAACAACCTGAGCGTAATGGAGGATAGCCTAAGATTAATTAGGGACGCAAAGAGATGAATAGTGGACTGATGTGAATGCAGGACACCTTGATATAAAAGCAGGGATGAATCAGGTGATGGCAGTTCTGACTTTATAGCAAACGGACCATAACACAGTTGCTCCATTCCTGTGCCCAGGAAAACCACACAGAGTATCTTCAGATAAATGCAGCGCAATTTGAAATAAATGAAGAATAATTTTGCATTAATGCCGGCGTTTAAAAACAAATTTTTTTTAGCATCTGTACCTTATATAAATCAAAACAATAAATATTATATTTCTGCGATAGATCTTGAAAGCACCTTGAAGTAAGGGATCCGAAACGACGAATTTAGGAAACAGATGGGAACCGAACTAGTGCTAAACTACGTCAAGAGACAACACATCAAAGGGTTTTGACATGTATCCAGATTGTCACAGGACATTGCACAAAAGAGAACCCCGTCACTTTGGTAGAATGGAAGCAGGGGGTAGATATCACCAAAGCAAGCGATGGATCGATGGAAAGTGTGAGGTGTTGAATATCACCATCCAAGCAGCACCCTGTGTTTCTTCTAAACCTGTTACTGAAAGAACACAGACTAGAAAACAAAAGGACAAAGTAAAAGAAATGACCACCTGGTAGAGATCGACATAGTCTGTGCGAAGTCTCTTCAAGCTGTTGTCGATGCTGGCGGTGATGTGTCGACGACTCAGTCCTACGTTGTTGACGTTCTGCTCTGTGCCCATGTTTCCTCGAACCTTGGTGGCGATCACAAACTTGTCTCTGGGTTGTCTGTCGATTACACAATAATTATACACATGTGTCAGCGAGCAGGGCACTAGGACATAAACGGACCAAATTTCTACGCCTTCGGGCTTTTTGAGCATATGGTGCTAGATCTATATTTTATAGACAATCGGCACTCGGTGGGTGATGTGGCCAGTATTACACTGGCTGCCTTTATTTCCCACCGTTATACCTGTTACCCATTCACATTTGGGTCGACCTATGAACCGAGGTCATTTTTGAAAAGAAAAAAAAAAAAAAGCCCAGTTCCGTCAGTTCCATGGCTGGTATCTCTGAATAATTAACCCAAAATAAATTGAAACAAACAGTCTATGAGATCTTAGATACGATATAATACAGAAGAGAGCTGAAAAATCATTACACGGCTAACGTGACTAATTTTACATATGAAGAAGGCACTTTTCTGCACCATCACGTAATTTTTCTCAACTAACTTATCCTCTTCTTCATACATGGCCTTAAGTGCCAGGACAGGATCATAAACCCTGCAGCATTGGAAGGAGTAGGTACCACACCGGTTTTCTTCATGTTTAGTTTTCTGCGGCTTCGATGTCTGGGCCACACTTGGAGAATCGAGAGTGGTAGAGTCTCTAAGGACATCCTCTTTGGTGAATTACAGATGGATAGAAGCTGTGGAGGCATGCATCATCTACGACATAAAGATGTGTGCAAGAAGGACATTAATAATACAGTTATTGAGGTAGATTCGTGGGAATACAATGCCATGGCCCGTGTTGAGTGGATGGAGAAAATCAGGAAAGTAATAGAAACAAAGGGGTAAACAATTGCAGAGAAGTTGAGAGCTGAGTATCTGAGAAGACTCACACTAAACACATGTAATGGCAACAATGGTCTTGAAATCCGATGCTCGAATTGTGGAAGACTTTTCTCTAAACGCGGAAAAGGGGGGGGGGGTGGGAGAGAAGAGGGGGGGGGGGGCTTCTAGTCACACACAGTCGCCGTGGACTATGACTCCCATTCATCCTCATAGCACACACAAAAGAAAACAATATCGTCTGGAAATAATAAAGGCTGCAAAGAACAATATTATCTTCTTTAAAAGTTACAAAAGCTTTAAGGCATGCCTGGTTTTCCTCTTATTGCAACTATCCTCGGCATCCTCAGAGATAAAGCACTCACCTCTCTAGCCATGTGCCTATGATAGATTCTGACTTTCCTAGGGCATACATATCGGCGGTGTCCAGAAAGTTGCCTCCCCACTCGACGTACCGGTTGATGATCTGGTGTGAGGCTTCTTCGTTTGTTTGCCCTGGCCATCCCCACTGCAAGTTCAATGATATAATTACTGACAATATGGATAAACTGTGAGCATAAAATAGGTTGATTTTGAGCGAATTGTTATAAATTAAGATTATTAAATTCAATACTAAGAAAATGATAAGCTAGGTACCGGTAGATGATTTTGAAGAATATCAAAGAATCAGATTGTTTGGTCATCTGGTCAGAATAAAGCACATTTAGACAGCTTCTTGAGCACACTACATGGGAACAGCATTCTGCACTGCGAGAGGCCCGTCGAGAGAGCAATGGGTAGACAGCGTACACCAGACACTACAGAAAGGCAGCATGACATTAAAGCAAATATTAAATGGCAGGAAACTACTTCTAACTCCTCTCGTTGACTGTTTGCGACACAAGAGTAGGTCAAGAGAAGCAGAAAACGGTAATTAACTATAAAAATAAAATGGCTTCTTTCATCCTAATTTTTTTTTTTTTTGGGGGGGGGGGGGGGAGAATTAACTTTAAAGAGATAATTAAATGTAAACATGACTGACTGGGAAGCAAATCGTGGGAAGTTGGACTGGCATACCAAACACAGTAGTATCAAAGATCTACTCAATGGAATGATGTGTCCTTGACACAAATGAACATTTAACTGTGAAGACAGACGAACGTCTTACCCGTTAGTTAGTATGGCACATGACGCTAGGCCTGAGGTAGGATTGGGGTGGCAGCCCCTACAATACTCTAAAGCCCATGTGGCTCAAGTTGGACATGAAAAATGGGAGCAAAGGGAGTTAAAAAAATTTAATTTCTGATTGGTACTTTGACACTGGTATCAAGTTATAGAGCAACCATTTCTGTATTACCAAGCAGTTAAATTGTATGTCTTAGGATGAATAGTGTTTTTAGGATATGAATTGTTGTATGGGTGACAGGGGTCTTGTTCTAGCAATTAATAATCCTCTCGGTGATGATGATGATGATGATGACGCGCAAACAGAAAAAGATGCTGAGGATAATGGTGGTGATGATGGTGGTAGTAGTGGCGCTATTGCTGATTATGATGATGTATATGCAATTTATGATATATATATATGTATATCTACAAGTACTCACAGTCACGTCGCCGAACGTTGCACACCCGAGACTGATGTTTGACACCTTGATTCCGGAGCGACCCAGGAAGTTGTAGACCACTTTATTTTCTTCGGGGATTGCTGTGGTCATGGTCGGTGATTACTTCAAGAAAAAATAAAGCAAGAAATGACGTCATCAGTGTGAGTTAATTCTTGGCCTGAGCAATACCAAATTGCCTAACCCGCATATGTTGTGGTCAAGTTAGCTTATTCCAAAACTGTTCCTGAGCCTATATTATTGAAAGCTTAAGCCGCAAATATTGTGGTCAAGTTAGCTTATTCTGAAACTGTTACTGAGCCTTTATTATTGAAAGCTTAGCAATATTCAGATAAGAGGTTTTATGGTGGTGCGACGTGCACACATGTCCTTCATATGCTTCTTCTATTTTTTTTTCTTTCGGCGTTAACCGGCAGGTACACGTTCTGGTTGTTCTTTCACTTCTGGATCATTGTCTTGTTCCAGGAGGCTACGTGGTCTTGAGGTATGGTGTCCGCCTCGAGTGCTAGAGGTTTCATGTTCAATCCTCGGTAAGGGCTAGGATATTTTCACTTGGACTGAAACTTCTAGTAATTACCCCTGGTCTTTGGGTAGTAGGATCGCACGCCCGTGTGCATTGTCGTGAACGTAAAAAATCCCTTGGCAGTTGGAAATTAAATAAAAAAGTAGCCTAACGGCGCTGCCCAGGCAAAATTTTGAGTTAAAAACTCTACCCAAAGTATTTCAGAATCCTCGCCGGTGCAACAGAGCCTAGCACTGTGCTGAGCTTCTGCGGAGTCAGACTTGAGTTAGAAGAAGAACGGAGCACTTATAGGTGTTGTAATCTTATTGTCCAAAGAGTTAAAGTTTCTTCTAGTTTCTTCTAGTGGTCACAGCGCAGGTGAAAGGTTCACACAGCGGCCACCGGTCGGGTCTGTTACCTGGGATACCAGCTAATTGAATGCTGGGCGATTAACACAAAGGCTCCTGCAGAACACAAAGGATTCCGCAGTCAAGATATTTCCCTTGTTCGAAGCAGACGTTCCTTCTTTGTGAAGTTTGATTAACCGTACTTACACGGGAGACAGTTTAATGTCTATTTATTTATTATAATGGCAGGAGTCCATTGAGAAAAAAGTGTAATCTTTTATATCATCAGAATAGATAATGGAGATTTATTATCGTACATGTTTTATTGAATAATCATCATCATCTTGTGACGTGTAACTTTAATGCCATTAAAGTTTATGTGGCCTGTCACAAGCGTTATTGTTGGCTTGTAAAGGTAGCGACTGTATTACATGATGCTGTGTCGGTGCCAAGTGTGCCAGTTATAGAATGCAGGACTTCACTGTAGCACATCCATCAAGGAGATATCCAGCGGAATACTAGAATAGGCACCCTAGGCCTAAATACTTGGTTGAATATAAAGTATACAAAGAATGTACAAATTAAGTGTACAACAGTGGATGGCCAAGCCGGTCCTTTGATGGATTTATAAACAGTGTTGATTAATCCTGTGTTCGTGCTACAGACTGATGATCGTTTGAACGAATACATAAAACTGTTCTACATAAAGTTATAAATTAACGGATCCTGAAAGGAGTTATAAACTATTTTTTTTAAGTGTATGCAGTGCTAACGGGTGTTTCTAGCAGCTTTACGAACTTATCGGACATACGTGAACTAACAGTAGGCCTTAATTGATTGCCATTTACAGCTGTATAAAGTGCTGGTGACATTAGCAGTTTTTTTTTTGACTCTATAGAATTACGCGTTTGTTCTACCGTAATTGACATTCTTCAACGGAGTTCAGCAGTGGATGCTTGAGTTTCGCATCATTACTACTAGGTCCCTGTTCACAGTACGTCGCCTAAGGATCGCAGTACGTCGCCTAAGGATCGCAGTACGACGCCTGAGGATCGCAGTACGACGCCTGAGGATCGCAGTACGACGCCTGAGGATCGCAGTACGACGCCTAAGGATAGCAGTACGACGCCTAAGGATCGCATCTGTGGATTTAAATCGGGTAATGTTTTTTGTTGACGGATGGGAGTTGTTTTGTGTGCTCGTTTCGTCTCATAACATATCCGAGGTGTTAGAGTGAATGATTATCATCCATGTTTTCTGTTATTTGTAACTTTAATATATCAGCTCATTGAGTTTGGGATGACATATTAGTTCTTTTCTTCAGCTTTTCTTGTCAAATTGGCGGCTCTGATATAGAGGATATGCAAATATTCGTGGCCTTTCTGACAATTAGTCGCTAAAATTGTATGCGTTAAGTGTGTTTCCGTCGTCACGTCATTGGTGTGCTCTTCTGTTTACTTTTCATGATTTCTTTTTTATAACAGGCTTGTGGTGTCAACTTTATTTTTACTATTCGATTCTCTCAACGTTGTCGTTTTTGTACATTCGTTGCAGTGAACGAAGTGTAGCGTCTTGTTTGTCAACCATTGTTTGTCTCATTTTTTTTTCCCCCATTTATTATTATTTTATATTTTCTGTATTGCATAATATATCGAGTTATAATGGCTTCCTTTGCGGATTTTGTTGAGCTAGGCCGATCTATGAGTTTAGAGGGGCCAGAGTTGGTAAAATTTGCGAAGCCAGATTAAAAGAAATTACAGAGAGAGAAGAAAGAGCGTTAGAAAGACAGCAGAAGAAAATTGACTCTGAGTTGAAGATACAACTTCTTAATGCAGAAAAAGAAAAAAGCAGAAAAAGAAAAAAGCAGAGGCAGAAAAAGGAAAAAGCAGAGGCAGAAAGACTAAAACTAAAAGAAGAGTCAGAAATGCTAATTTGTGTAGAAAGAGAAAAGGCTGAACTACAAATAAGGTTAGAAAAGGAAAAAGTTTAGAGGCAGAACGGGTACTTAAGGAACAGGAAATAGCATTTAAAAGAGAGCAGATGTTGCAGCAGATGCAGGAAAATGATAAGCAGCAGCAATTTAAAGATCGAGAATTGAATTGTCTCACAAGCAGCAACAACTTAGATTCGACACTGAGATAGAAATTGCTAGAGTAGAGAGAGATAAAATGATTGCTATTAAGGAGGCCGAGAGTAAGAAAAGTGTGGAGATGGATCAGCTCTCCAACCGAGACAGGAATAATGGGTCATACAGGCCGAAGTTGCCCTTTTTAACAACAAATGATTGTTTTACACTCTCTTTTTGGACAGATTCCAAGAAACGATGTCGTCAGCCCAGATTCCTGAGACACAGTGGGTAGCTCGTCTTAGAGATCTACTAACCGGTACAGTCTTAAACACGTTCACTAACTTACCATTGGAAGACCGTGCATCATTCAAGACAGTGCGTCAGAAATTATTGGCTTCCCAAAATTTGACAGAGGAAAACTACCGTCAAAAATTCAAAAACACAATGCCTTCCTCTGAAAAAAGTTTTGGTGATTTTGTTGCCAATGTTAAGACCTTGTTTTCTAGGTGGACAACTCTGGCGCAGGTCGGTAATTCTTATGATCGTCTAGCAGACCTGATGATTAGGGATAAGATTCTGTCCTGTTGTAGCACAGGATTGTTTTGCTTTCTTTCAAGAAAGAAAACCACCATCTATTGAGGAAATGGTGAAACTGGGTGAGCAATATATGAGTGCTCATCCTGGCAAGTCATTGCAAAAGGAAAGTTATACAGAACCTATTCCTGCCGCATCTAGCATGCGCGTGAACCGCTCACATTATTCGCAAAAATAATGTTGCTCTCAGAAACCTCACACTTTTGGCAGAGCAGGTCACTTTAGAAGCCACAGCTATGATCGTTCCAGACGACCAGATAGAGCCTTTCAGAAGACAGAACAGTCACATAGGTACTTTAGCCGGCCTAGAGGTTGTCAGTACTGTTCTTCCTGGCGTCACCGATCAGACCAGTGTCATCACAAAAGTTATAGACAGAATGATTATGAATCTCCGACACAAGACAGGAGGAGGCACTACGATAACAACCTCAAATGCTTTGTGTGTGGGGGGAATCACCTGAAAAGATTCTGTCCTAGAGTTACACCAAGACAGGGCAATGCAGTTCAGGTAGAGGACATAACACATGCCAGCCACAGCGATACAGTACAGGTCAGAGTTCGACCTGATATATTGTATCCTGCTTTGTCCGCCATGCCTACAGAATGTGGATTACCTCTCCATTTTGGGTACATTGGCAAGGTTAGATCTACAGTTTTGAGGGACACGGGTGCGAATGTTATTGGCGTGGCAAGATACTTAGTTTTCCTTCATCTGCATATACAGGAAGGTATGCCTAAATGCCGCACATTCGGTGGAAATCTTGAAAAATATCCACTTGCAATTGTGAAAATTAGATGTCCCATTTTACCGGAGTTGCAGAGGTATGTGTTGTAAACCGGTGTTCACCAGATATCATTCTTGGTACAGTTCCAGGGGTGCGAGCTTGCACAACAGAAGATATTAAGAAGTGGAACGATGACAATGACACAGTGGCCAATGCTGTTACACGAGCACAGCAGAAACACATAGACAGAGATAGGCACCTATTTAAGTCCAGATAGCATTTCATGAGCTATCATTTTTGGGTCTAAGAACTTCTACGCTAAATTTATTCCCCCATTATTCCTCTATAACATCTGTGTTGTCTGAGTTGACAAGAAAGACGATGCCTCGAGAGGTGTTTTGGGATGAATCCTGCGCACAAGCACTCAGCCAGAAACATTAACAATACATTTTGAGAAGAACATTTTTAACAATAAACTGGAGCAGTAATTTCTGAGATTGCCTAATCTCCGACACTGAACACGCTATAGTTGTCGGGAGGAGAGCCAGAGAGAGAGAAGCACGGGAATTTACGGGTCCATCGTCTCCAGGTACCTAATTAGGGAGAACGTTTTATTGTAATTAACAGACACAAAGTCACTTGCTGTTTTTGAACACAGGGCTGTAACAAATGGCCCGTATTCTTCGTTGACATGTTTTCTTCTTCAACTTTTAACTATACCATCGCTAACGGAGTGGTAAGGAGAACGTACTTGCTGATATTGTATTTCTTGTTGTTATTTCATGTCTTATAACAACAAAAGTTATCATCATTTTATTTACATGCATTCTTTTTATAGCAAAAGTTATCATCATTTC